TACATCGCTCACATTGGACTGAATCACAAATGGAGCAGCTGGGTTGGGGTGCTTCAACATGGGCTCTGCCGCAAACAGCTATTTTGAGTTTTTCAAATGCCACTTGGCACTCCATGGTCCACTTAAGTGGCTGACTTGCCTTCGATTTGTCTTCCCCTTTAGTTTTTAAGAGGTTGGTAATTGGCAATGCAATCTTTGCAAAGGAGGGAATGACGTGCTGGTAGAAATTGGCAAAGCCCATGAAATTCTGCAACTGCTTCCTAGTGTGGGGAGGGGCCCACTCTAGTACTGCCTTCATCTTTGCTGGGTCCATTTCCACTCCTTAATTGGATATGTGATAGCCCAGGTAATCAATTTTATCTTGGTGAAATTCACACTTAGAAAGTTTTTTGTACAATTCAGTGGCTCGGAGCATTTTTAGGACTGCTCACACTAATTTCACATGCTCTTCCATAGTTTCAGTATATATTAATATGTTATCCAAGTACACCAGCACCCCCTTGTATAAATAGTCATTCAGCACTTCATTGATCATTTGCATGAACACCTCGGGGGCCTCTTGCAGACCAGAACCCAGAACTGGAAACATCCCAGACAGCAGTTAAACGCAGTTTTCCATTCATCGCCCTCTTTAATCCGAACTCGGTAGCAAGCCTCCCATAAGTCTAACTTATTGAAGATTTTGCCTTTGGCTAGATGTGCCAAATGTACTTCACCAAGGGCAGCAGGTAGACATTTTCCAAGCACACTGCATTTAGCCCTCTATAGTCCATACACAGATGAAGAGTTCCATCCTTCTTTTCCCAGAACAAAACTGGAGCTGCCACTTGCGGCCTTGTCAGTTGAATAAATCCACGTTTTATTTCTATGAAGGCATGAAGCTCATTTAGCTCATGTGCAGTCATTGAGTAAAGTTAGGCTTTTGTCATTGAGTAAAGTTAGGCTTTGGGAGTTTAGCCCTGGGAAGGAATTTGATATTAGTTAGTGGGGTGGGAGCATGTCAGAGCCTTTCTCACTAAATACATCCTGCAGATCCCAATACTCCTTTGGGATTCTACACTTCCTTGGGTGTCCCTGCGCCGGGAATGGGATGACTCACTGCAGCCAGGTGGGTATGACCTGGTAGGCGTGGCCATCTGAGTGCCACCAGGTGGGCATGTGTGAGTGGATGTGGCCGGTTTGATGCGAATGATTAGGTGCAGCCCACTCGGGGCAGATGACTCGGGGTGGGTAGGTGGGTGGGTGGGTGTGGCCAAGTGGATGCAACCATGTCAATGTGGCTGGCTAGGGGGTGCCAGGTGGGCATGGCCAGGTAGGTGCAGAACAAGTCACCACAGGCAACTGGAGGTAGAGCCAACTTGGCACTCCACCAAAACAAAAATCACCCAGAGACATGCTGGCAAACAGGAAGCAAGGAAGCGACAAAATTTCATAGGCAAAGGGTGGATTTCCCCCCCTCCCCTTTAGAGAAATGCTCCTTTTTTCTTGCTGCTTCCTCTGTTGCTATCTCTGGTAGGGAAGGGAGGGGCTGGATTTCCCCTCCAAAAAAACATAATTGTCAGCAAACAGTCATAAAAGGGGCTAGCCAATTTCATATAAGATAGGTTTTGTTTATCTATATTTGTTAGTAAGGATGGTTAAATATTCAGCCATCTAGTGGGGTGGCCTTCTCATAGATATCAAGTTCTCACTTTATCAATCAGAATAGAGCTGGAAGGGACCTTGGAGGTCTTGTAGTCCAACCCCCTGCTCCAGCAGGAAACCGTAGACCATTTAAGACAAGTGTTTGTCCAGTCTCTTAGAATGCAGGGTAGGACAAGGCTTGGGCTATCACTGTGTTTCTTCATATGATTTATATTCTTATGCTACTGTTGCTTGTAATCTTAGAATCTCTTGCCTGATAGGTCCAAAGGAATGATATGCATAGGAAGACATAGACCAATAAATTCAGGAAAACAAAGAAAACAAACTGGTACATCTCCTATGCACAGTGACTTTCCTAACACCACCTATGGAAGCAGGGCAAGAAAATTAAATGGCTGGAATGAGAACCAGGAAAAAAAACCTGACCCCCAAACATAGCAGAGAAATCTCTACTCAGAAAGCAGCAAGAAAAAACACTCCGTCTCACCAAATGGGGGAGGGGCGCAAATCCATTCACCCCCTCCCTTCCCTGCCAGAGATAGCAGAGCAAAAATGCTCAATTTCACCAAATGGGGGGGGCGTGAATCCATTCACCCCCTCCCTTCCCTGCCAGAGATAGCAATCTCTGCTCAGGAAGTAGCAAGAAAAAATAAGTGTTTCTCTAAAGGGGGGAGAATCCACGCTTTGCTTTTGAAATTTTGCCACTTCCTTGCTTCCTGTTTGCCAGCATGTCTCCTGGGTGATTTTTGTTTTGGCAGGGTGCCGAGTTGGCTCTACCTCCAGTTGCCCACAGCGACTTGTTCTGCACCTACCTGGCCACACCCATCTGGCACCCCCTAGCCAGCCACACTGACGTGGTTGTGTCCACTTGGCCACACCCACCCACCCGCCCCAAGTCAGCTGCTCCAAGTCAGCCATCCCAAGTAGGCTGCACCTAATCATTCACGTCAGCCCAGCCACGCCCACTCACCCACGCCCACCTGGTGGCACTCAGATGGCCACACCTGCCTGGTCATGCCCACCTGGCTGCAGTGAGTCATCATAGACCCCCCTGTACCACAGCTCCCAGCTCCCTTGGTTCTTTGGCCTTCTTGCCTCGTCTAGCTGGCAAAACCCTAACCTTCAGCCATGTGAGTGTCAGGCCCAGCTTTTCAATGACCTCAGGGCTAACCATGCACCTAATGCAGCCCAAGTTCAGTAAAGCCAACATCCTTCCCTGGATCCCTGAGAAAGGCACCACTAGTTCCACAAGGATCATGTGTTGACTTAACAGGAAGTCACCATCATAGTTGTTTTCACTCTCACCCAAGTTGGTCTACAGCTCCCAACCCCTCAGATCCAGTAGGAGTGAACTCTACAACCCCCAGCACTGTCTCCCGGATTCTCGGAGCTGGCTTCTCTCTGCCTTCTGTCCCAGAATTGTCGTGGCTTTGCAATTGGGCTTGGTAGGTTGGCATTCCACAGCTTGGTGCCCCTTCTTCCCATACTTGGAACATGCTGTACTTGGTCTAGGTCTGGAGTGGCTCTTTGCTGACCTCAGGGCTTTTTTATGCACATGAGGGAAGGATTTGTGCCATCCACGGTTGCCACGGTGTCAGTCCAAGGCAAGGTCGATCTCTGGGTCTCCCCCTAGGACCTTTGGGGGTTGACACCTTAAAAGGGCAGCCACTAGTGGCAGAGGACATGCTCAGCAATTGCTGGTGATAGTGGTATTGCTTGCTCTAGCGCCAGTCCAGGCAGAGTAGGTGCAGTGCCACCATAGTAGTTCCATCCTTGGCTAGGCTTGGGTTGACTGGGGAACTTGGGTATTGGTCCTTGCACAAGTTCCCAGGCTCTTTGATTCTTCATCGCCTCTTAGGGAAGGGCCTGGTTCAGCATCCTCCGGATTTTCATCAAGAGGGGGTCTTCCCTTTTCCCTACATCCAGTGACTATCTGGGTTTACAGGTTTCTCATTGAGGTCCAGCTCCCCTCGCCAATCTGCCTAGTCTCGAGCGCCGTGTGGTGGTGGGGGGCTGTCATAGCCCTGGGTTCCTCCAGTTCACTCCCGTGGTTGGACATTAGATGCTCGTTCCCACGGTAGACTGCTGTCTCTGGGTTGACCATTGAAGCAGATCTTGCATAATGTCTCAGGGCTCCCTCTACTGAAATCCTAGGAAATAAAAACCTTTTATTCCATAGATTTAGAGAAAAGGTTCTTTTATTAGGAAAGAAGTGAGTGCAATTAATTCAGGCAAGATCTGAGGCAAAACTGTGCGAAGCATCAAATTGTAACAAACCCCAAATCCCACCCCCACCCCCCTGCAACTAGCAACCAGAGTTCACACAGCCAAAAAATGTTTTGGGAAAGTCAGGTGTACCGTCTCTGGCTGCTGCATACCAAAGCTTGAAGAAACGACCTTGAAGAGATAAGCAAAGTCCAAACTGTCTGCTACATGAAAACTTCATGAAAAATTTCCACGGACTCTGTCTCCTCCAGTGCGCTTCCCCCCTCAATTGCCCATTGCCCCCCTCCCCGTTGCCATGGCAGCTGACAGCAAGCAACTGAAGATTGAGGCTGACAGATAGCTTGGTTTTATTTTGAACATAAAACCAGTCAGATGCAAGAAATCAATTAACAAAAGTATAGGATATAAAATGAGAAGGCAAATATCTCCTTCAACAGAACTCAACTCCTGATGACTCCATATGTATGTCCATGCATTTTTTCTATTGCCTTCTTTTGATATTTTTCATTTTCTACAGCCTTCAGATTTCAAGGTATCTCTCATACTCTACTAACGGTGGACCACCATGCTTAGCTTTTGTAAATCTGGCAATGTAATGCCATCTAGCTGAGTCCAAAACTCAAGAGTGGGGGGGGGAGATTTATTAATTACCCAAACGCAGGGAAGTAGTTTTTCAAAACAAAGAATAGTCCCGCAAAGAGCAGCCAGTCCCTCAATCCAATAATAAATTGTTCGTGTCTTTTCTTCGTCTTAGATGAGAAACAAAACACAGTCAAATGCACCAGCAGCAATTGGCTGAGCTGGGCGGCTGCGTCAGCAAATACCTTTGCCATGACCTTCTCTGACACCCCATTCATTGACTGACTCAGAAACCCTGTAAAAAGTCCCGCTTTAAGCCTAGACTTCGGTCGGCTCAAACCGCTGCCAAAGCTCTGACTTGCGTTCACTCAACGCCCGCAATTAAATGCGAATTGCCCCCGGGCAAAAGCCAACCCGCCTGCCGAGCAAAGGTATTCGGAAGGCCCGCCATTGGCTGTCAGACTTGCAAGCTGCTGGGCTTTAATTGGCTGCAGGGCTTCCTTTGTTTCTTTCCCCGCTGCCGCAGAAGACGGAAGTTTGACTCTACTCCCAGCAGCTGGAGAGATGCAAAAGGAGACCAGGAGCGAGCGGTGTGGAGCAATCTCGAGAAACACATTTCCTTTCTAACCACACCCTTCTATCATCAGTAAGGGTGGAGGAGGAAGGAAAAAGGCGTCTCTCTTGCCGTTGGTCCCGGAATCTCGTGTTCTCCGTGCCGAGAATCCCGACATGGATTTGGAGAGCAAAATCAAGAAGGTAAGAGAACAGTGAGTCAGGAAACTGGGTGATTGGTCGGAAGTTACCTGCATACGCTGGACAATCCGGAATCCCTCGGAATCTTGTCTTACCCTTTGACGTGGTCTCAAATTTGGCATCCCACCATTTCAATCCTTCTTCACCGAAGCCAGAGAATAGTGTTTTGGGAAGGGAAATTGATGGTTTTCTTTTTGCAGAGAATAACTATTTGGTCGGTTGGTTGCTTGGCTGTTGATTGGGTTGAAGGTGAGACTATATGCACGTTTATGCTACATTAATGTGTGTATAGTACAATATGATCATAATTTACTTAGAAGTAAATCGTGTTCACTCCTGTAAATAAAAGTTACATGGAATTACCTACTCCCTCCAGCTGAATACAAAATATAAATGGTTTGGGGGGGAAAACCCTTAATAATGTACAATCATTTCAGTTAGGAATGTTGGAATGTTGGCATAAAACTGCATACTTACATATTATCCAAAATGCTACCTGAACAAAGTTGCTCAGGTAAAACCCCAACACAAAAAGAAACTTATCTTCATTTCTGCTGCCTATCTACACAGGAAGACTCCAGATACAAAAGTTCTTTGGGTGCAAAGACATCAAGACATATGTTTCTATGATAAATAGATTAACTTATGTCAAAGTTTTCTATACTTTTTGCATTTGATTCTGGCTTTCCTGACTTTAGATGAGCTGATCTTGTGCATATATTGTAGTTCCAAGACATTAGGTTAAAAACATTGAAATAGTTAAACTTGTCATCCCTTATTCCAATTGATGACTTTAATTTTGACTGTATCACATGTTACCTGGAGATGAATCTTCCCAAAGTCAGGATCTTGGAGAATATTAAAATTGAATGAAACTTCTTCCTCTGGTGGCAGATAAAAGCTTTACTTTATTTAGGTAGGTGGGGTGGCAAGAACAGATCATATGTCCTGCAGCATTCTTTACTGACTATTGTTACTGCTATTGTTTCTGAATTGGTTGAAATTGTGGGTGAAACTCTTTGGAAGGCCTGAGTTCTTGGGCCATGATATGAAAAGCTGATAAATATAAATCTCAGGCATGTAAACAACATAAATATTAGATCTATTTTATGATTAAATGTCTGGAAAAGTGCATCTGAATAATGGACTTTGCTACATCAGTTCGTTGCATAAGCTTTTATTTTTTTAAAAAATATATAGCTGTGAAATGTGCTTTTTAAAAATTACAGATAATTTTCTTTATAGAGCACACTAAATGTTAAAAATTTGCAGAGAAAGCTGTTTATTATTATGGCTTGTCAGACATTCCATTTATCAAATGTTTCTGGTTATAATAATTAAAGAAAAGATGAGGAATACAATTCCTTATCACTCTTGAAAATGGTGCAGAAGTCAAATTGAATGTAGAAGAATTAAGTCCTGGGACGACTAGAGTCTTTATCTTTTTCTTCCTGTTTTTCCTAAAAGAGAGTTTAAAAAAATAATGTATGGAAAACCTATATAGGACCAAAAGCTGGTGTCAGAGGTTAAGAGCAGCTCTAATGCTGTTGAGCTATAGATGTTAGTAATCTTATCAGCCCTGCTATAGTGGACGATGCATCTATATGGGAACAGACTATATAATTAATTGTATTTGTAGCCCAAGAGCTGCACAACTATGCAGTAACATTCTCCCAACCATAAAATGGTACTCAGCAACTGGCTGAAATTCAGATGCAATGTTAAGACATTAAAATCAGAGTTCGTTGATTTTTTATTAAAATGTAAGACTAAGCAGCAACAGGTTTCTATATTCCTTTGAATGTTTTTATTTTTTGTCAGGTCATTCTATTTTGCCTTTTCTCTGTCCAGGTATCCAGAAATTAGATTCATCTTTGCTGTACAGAGCAGTGTTTCCCAGTCTTGCCTATGTTAAATCTCACCAATCTTCTAGGAGAGAATCCCATCCAGCTAGAAAGTATATTGTATATGTAATGCATTCAAAGACATTTTGTTATTAAATGTATCAGTTATAGTAACTTTTAGCAATACAACAATACTGTGGAAAATATTTTTTCTCAAATAGATGTAAAATAATGAGTGAGAATTAACTAAGACTGTTTGCTGTTTTAAAAGCAGTCTTCTTCTGAGTCCAAATCAAATATAATTCAAATAATGAGAGAGAACTTATGCAAAATATAACATTTTATTTTAGATGGCTATAACCTACTGATAGGTTTGTAACTATACTGACCTCTGCTATGTCAGAAAAATAAGCATAATCACACCTAGTTAATACTTGGGTGGAAAACCACCAAAAGATTCCAAAGTTGTAGACTAGACTGCAAGGTTAAAAATACATACTTCACTAAGGAAATGATAAACTGCTTCTGTATTGTTATCGAAATACCTACATTAATACGTCTGTAAAGTCATCAGAGTGGGGCTTAACTTAAAGAGACTTGCCTTTATTTATGTATTTTAATTGATTGTCAGCCGCCCTGAGTCCTACGGGAGAAGGGCGGGATATAAATCCAAATATAAATAAATAAATAAAATCTACTCAGAAAAAGGATGAAAGTAAGCTGAAGGGCTGCAAAGGGCAGTGCAGAAAAAAGGGCCTGGTAGAAATCTGTGCTTTTCATAGAGTTATTTCCTGATAGTAGCCATTTTATAAGAAGAGCCACAATATGTTCTCAGAATCCTGAATGTTTCTATCACCCTCAACAGACAGTCTTAACCTTTCAGCAGTAAATGTCAGTTCAAGTGTAAGATCTACATTGTTTAAAATGCCTTGCCTAGTTAATCCATAGTCTCTCACATTGTCTTATTTCATCTAATAGTATGTAAAGCAGTGAAATCATCTTAGATGTAGGGAGGGGTTGACAAAGATAAAATCATAAGCATGACATCAATTTACAGATGTAATTTCAGGGAGATTGTTGATTTTCAGCAATAAGCTTGAATCATCCTTTTCAGGAAAACAAATGGGCGTATCCTGAGCAATAGATGGTTTGGAAGGATAGAGCCTAAATATCAATATGTTTTAAAGGTCAGTAATTAATAAACCCAGTAATAAACCCATTTCTATTGATGTTTTTAAATGCCAGGAATGTCTTTAAAATTAGTCAGAGCTATTCCACAAATAAAAAAGTTATTTCCATTATATATAATTTAAAAGTTGTGTGTCTGTGTTTTTGTATATAGTATGTTTGTACAAATATATGAATTTGTGTGTATTGTGCGTGTGTATGCACATAGACATTTTATATATTCCCCAGCATATATTATATCATATTCACCATAAATCTGTCAAGATAAATCCAGTTCATCCTTTATTAAATGCTTCCTGGATCAGCTTTTGTTCCAGGCTGGAGAGTCTATGTTGCCATCTGTAACATTGGTGACCTCCATAATATATGTCATCAGATCACAGACACAGGCCAATTTGCATGTGAAGCTTACATAGTTTATCTCAGGAAAAAAGAAACTGCCACAGTCATGGGTATTCAATCCGTCTGTCCCTCTCTTTTTGGAAAATAAATATTTCTATTCAGATGATAAATGTTTGACTTGAGGTATATTCTTGGATGTGTGAAAAAGTAAAATGAAGAGAGTCAAAAATGCAAGCTGGCTTAATCATATAGTACAAGGCTGTTTAACATATTGTTTCCTCAAAAGTAAGACCAACCCCAAAAATAAGCCCTAGCTTGATTTTTGGAGGTGGACTAAATATAACCCCTACCCCCAAAATAAGCCCTAGTTTTGGGGCAAGGTGCACACTTAAAAATCAAGTTAGGGTGGGGGTGGAGCTGCCCCATGTGCCCCGCACCTGCTTACCGTTGCAGCCAGGCCTCCCATGAATTGATACCTGCCTCGCCTCGCCAGCCCATTTCTTCTGTGGCATTCCCCGGCCTGCATTTTGTCATCAGAGGCCTTCAGGAAATACCTCTGCAGCTGAGAATGGAGCTCTGGATTCCCCCCCCCCCCCGGCCAACCTGCATTTTGCCATCAGAGGCCTTCTGGAAAGGCCTCTGCAGTTGAGAACCGAACTACAGATTCAATCCGTAGCTCAGTTCTCAGCTGCAGAGGCCTTTCCAGAAGGCTTCTGATGGCGAAATACAGATTGGAGCTCCATTCTCAGCTGCAGATGCATTTCCTTTGGCCACAGAAGAAGTGGCTGGGCTGTTGGTGCCGCTGCCGTGAGGTGAGATTGTGGAAAAGACACACCCCAAAAATAAGACCTGGTGCCTCTTTTGGAGGCAAAAACCCCCACTACCATATAAGAATAAAGTTTTGACTCCTATTTACTGCAAAGTGCTAGTTGTTCATTGTTTTCATAGAGCTTTTCTGAATTCTTCTTGCTTTGTGGCTGCTGCTTTGGAAACAAGGAAACATAGAAATCACTGTTTTAATTACTCTGAAGTTGGGTTCAGTGCCATCATTGGGTTGAAGTTGAGTTCAGTGCAACTTCTCTGAAATGAGGCCAAATGGAAACATCTTCTTCTTAACAGACGTACAATTGCTTTAGTACATTGTGCAAGCAATTTTATAGAAGTGGCATTATCACAAGAAAACCCTCAATTTATTTATATACTTGGACTTCTATCAGAGCAGAACTAAGCAAGAACTGTGTGGTGATGCTTACAGGCAAGGAATCTGTCTAATAAAATAACTTAAGAGCATAAAATAATAACATGAAAGGGTAAGTTTTAAAAGAAACCAAATGTTCATCCCAAAAGCCAAGGTAACAAACTGTTTCCATCTATTTAAAACCTTATTGAACAAAGAAGGGCTCTATAGTGTTTATATTCAAATAGTGTTTACTAGCAATATCTCTTTCAGCATTTCTATATATGTTCACGATATTCTTTCACTTCTGGACCTTGGCCACATTTAGCTGTGTGAGCTTCAACTCTCTGAATTCTGAATAATAATGGTGAAAAAGATGCCAGGATAGGATCGAGTTTGCATTTAGAAAGGCACTTTCCAGAGAGCACTGAACATCCTCAGCTGGACAACCA